TCCGACTACTACTACTACTACTACTGCTGCTACTATTACTACGGCGACTACTATTACCACTGCTACTGCTACTACCACTACTACTACTACTACTACTACTACTACTACTACTACTACTACTACTACTACTACTACTACTACTACTACTACTACTACGGCTACTACTACTACTACTAGACTACTACTACTACTACTACTACTACTACTACTACTACTACTACTACTACTACTACTACTACTACTACTACTACTACTACTACTACTACTACTACTACTACGACTACTACTACTACTACTACTGCTACTACGACTACTACGACTACTACTGCTACTACTACTACTACTACTACTACTACTACTACTACTACTACTACTACTACTACTACGACTACTACTACTACTACTACTACTACTACTGATAATACTAATACTACTGCAGCTCCTTCTACTACTACTCCTCCTCCTAGTACTACTACAACTGATACGACTACTACTACTACTACTACTACTACTACTACTACCACTACGACTACGACTACCACGACTACTACTACTATTACTACTACTACTACTACTACTACTTCTACTACTACTACTACTACTACTACTACGACTACTACGACTACTATTCCTACTACTGTTACTGTTACTACTACCACTACTACTACTACTACCCCTACTACTGCTACTACTACTACTGCTACTACTACTACTACTGCTACTCCTACCACTACTTTTATTACTAATGCTACTACTACTACGACTACTACGACTACTACTACTACTACTACTACTACTACTACTACTACTACCACTACTACCACTACTACTACCACTACTACCACTACTACCACTACTACCACTACTACCACTAATACTACTACTACGACTTCTACTACTACTACTACTACTACTACTACTACTACTACTACTACTAGGGAACGGTCTGGTTAGGGCCCCGTGGAGTGGAATACAAGAAAACGAGGGACGAAGAGAGGAACAACAAGATATATACCATAAAACAAACAAGGAAATTAATGCAGAAAGATATATACATAAAAGGAAAGAATATAGAATAACCGGGTGTACTCGGGACAATATGGAGTCTGGCGGCCGCGGTATGCAGGGTGGGGGTGGCAGGGAGGTCTTCCCTTTAAAATCTAACGACCCCAGCCTGTCGGGTGAGGAATAAGAACACAACACAATCAAAAACAATAAGAAAACCACACAACCAAAAACATTAAGAACATCATTTTATGTCGATGAACCTTGTGAGGTTCCTAAAAAGCCTCTTGAGTCCACGAACCCTGTGATGGTCTAAAGAAAACCTCTTGAGTCCACGAACCATGTTTGTGTCCTAAAAAAAAGCTTCTTGGATTCACGATCTCTGTGAGGGTCTCAAAAAAAAAAAGCAACTTGGGTTCACGAACCCTGTGAGGGTTCCAAAAAATCCAAAAAAAAAATTTAAAAAAAAAACAATTAAACCTGTGAGGGTTCCAAAAAATCCAAAATTCAATGGTTTTCGGGTCTTCAGGCTGCCTGGACGGGCTGGGGTGGAGGCGGAGGAACTCCGAATCCACGATCTTTCTGAGAGTCCTAAAAAAAGCCTCTTGAGTCCACGAACCCTGTGAGGGTCCTTAAAAAAAACCTCTTCGGATCACAATCCTTGTGAGGGTTCAAAAAATCAAAAAAAAAATGAAAGAACAAATCGATAAAACTTGTGAGAGTTCAAAAAAATCCAAAACTCAATTGTTTTCGGATCTTGAGGCTGCCTGGGACGGGCTGGGGAGAGATACGGAGGAACGCCGAATCCACGATTCCTGTGAGAGTTTTTAAAAAAGCCTATTGAGTCCACGAACCCTGTGAGGGTCCTAAAAGAGAGCCTCTTGAGTCCACGAACCTTGTGAGGGTCCTAAAAAAAAGCCTCTTGGGTTCACGAACCCTGTGAGGGTTCTAAAAAATCAAAAAAATCAAGTAAAACTTGTGAGGGTTCCCAAAAAACTAAAAATCAATTGTTTTCGTGTATTCGGGCTTCCTCCGGCTTCCCCGCCAGCCGTCCCAGGCAGCCTGAACACCACAGAACAATTTTTTTTTGTTTTTTGGGAACCCTCACATTTTTTTGATTTTTTTGGATTTTTTTGAACCCTCACAGGGTTCGTGGACTCAAGAAGCTTTTTTTTAGGACCCTCACAGGGTTCGTGGACTCAAGAGGCTTTTTTTTAGGACTCTCACAGGGATCGTGGATTCGGAGTTCCTCCGCCTCCCCCCCAGTCCGTCCAGGCAGCCTGAAGACCCGAAAACCATTGATTTTTGGATTTTTTGGAACCCTCGCAGGTTTTATTAGATTTGTTTTTTAGATTTTTTGGGGATTTTTTGGAACCCTCACAGGGTTCGTGGACTCAAGAGGCTTTTTTTTAGAACCATCACAGGGATCGTGGACTCAAGAGGCTTTTTTTTTGGACTCTCACAGGGATCGTGGATTCGGAGTTCTTCCGCCTCCCCCCCAGTCCGTCCAGGCAGCCGGAAAACCCGAAAACCATTGAATTTTTGATTTTTTAGAACCCTCACAGGTTTTATTCGATTTTTTTTAGATTTTTTGGAATTTTTTGGAACCCTCACAGGGTTCGTGGACTCAAGAGGCTTTTTTTTAGAACCCTCACAGGGATCGTGGATTCGGAGTTCCTCCGCCTCCCCCCCCGTCCCGTCCCAGACTCGCAGTGTTTGATTATGTGTTTTTCTTATTGTTTTTGGTTGTGTTGGTTTCTTATTGTTTTTGCTTGTGATGGTTTCTTATTGCTTTTGATTGGAAGCGTTCTTGCAACCATACCGCATCTACATTTACATCAAAATCGATATCAAAACTTATACCGAAAAACCCACGGGGCCCTAAACAGACCGTTGGGTACTACTACTATTACTACTACGACTACTACTACCAGTACTATTACGATTACTACTACTACTACTACTACTACTACTACTACTACTACTACTACTACTACTACTACTACTACTACTACTACGACTACTACCACTACTACTACCACTACCACTACCACTACCACTACCACTACCACTACCACTACCACTACCACGTCCACTACCACAACCATTACCCTTATTATTTCCACCACCATTACCAATACCAGTACTACAACGCGCGAGCACACCGAGGTCAGACATTCTCGGTCTGTTTTTTCGGAAACCGAATGGTCACACGTAAGCCAACCAGTTGGTTTTCGAAGACTTTGCGGCCCGACCCCGCTCGAAACATTCGCACACAAGCGCAGCAGGAATCGGACATTCCCCGGTGCTGCCGGGGAATGTCCGTTTTTCCCGGAGAATGTCCGATTTTCCCGGGCTAAGTCCCGATCGCGTCAGTGGACCCCCCTGCCATTTGCAGCGAGCCCCCTGGCAGTTGTCAGTGGACACCCCCTGGCTTTCGCCAATGTCCTCCATGGCAATTTTCTGTGGACCCGTTGCCGTTGTCAGTTTTGTTTCTGGTTGTTCGGGGCATTTTAGGGTGGTTAAGGGGCGAACCCCAAACCACGCCCTGTGTTTCAGCCAGGGAAAGGAGGAATGAGGATGCAGCTGGTCTTTGGGAGTTTTCAGGCGGCGTGTCAAAGGCTCGAGTGATTGTTCCTCGTATTGTCGTTCTGCTGCACGTCCTTCTCATCTGTCCCTCCTTATCCTCATCCTCCGTGGTGGGTTGAGCAATCACGGGAGGTCATCCCACTACGCTTACAAGTGAAAGTATATGCAGCGAAGTTTGCATGTTGGCGGAAATCTTGCGTGCAAGATACTCACGAGGCGCTTCTTCGCGAAAACAACGGAGGCTCACAGCGATTATGGTGTCAATCGTGTGCCCCATTGCCCTCCTCCATCTACCCATTTCTCCGCCCTTTCCTCTCACTCTTCACTTCCAGCTTGCTTCCTTTCTCTTCCACGTTTGCCTCCTCCTTGCCCTCCGTGGTGTCGCTATTTGGCTGAGTCATCCCCCTTCTTCCTTCTTGCGTCTTTCCTTCCTCCTCTCCGGCATCCTTCTCCCCCTGCTCTTCGACCGTCTGGAGAAACCTTTTCGCTCTCCTTTCCCTTCCCAGGTCTATCCTTCCTGTATACATCTATGTATATGTATAATTTACAGATATATATATCTATACATATATGTGTGAGTGAACGTGCGATCCCCAATCCGTGCTTGCACTTAGAGGTTATGATGTCTTCGCTCAGTGACCGGGCCGTGTCTTCGGTCTGGCGGCTATGTGGTCGCCGTCGCCGCCCCGTCGTCGAGGCTTCGCCGGTCATCGTCTGGGCCATGTGCTCGGTCTGGAGGCTGTGTGTGGCCGCCTCGACGCCGCCTCGTCGCCGCCCCAGATTGCACAGCGCTGACTGCGCCGCATAGACTTCGATTGCCCCATAAAGGATGCACCGCATAGAGTGCACCGCATAGCTCGCGCAACAGAGCTCTCACCGCATAGCTTGCACAACATGGCGTTCATTGCACACATTGCACAGCGTATACTGCACCTCATTGAGCGCACGACTTAGAGTGCACCGCATAGATTGCACAGCATAGGTTGAATCGCATGCCCCAGACGGCTCCTGGAGGCTCCAGGAAGCCACAGTTTGCCATAGGAGGCTCCAGTAGGCCCTTGGAGGATGACGAGCATTGGTCTCAGGCGAAAGCCAAGGAACGCGCTAGAGCACGCAGCGCATCGTAGCATAGAATTGGGTATCGAATTATGGCATACCAAGGTGTGGCACACCTGCTCTGAACTCCTTCCGGTCCCTCGAGTCTGAGCATACGTGGTATGATGATTTTCTCGTCAGCATAGTCGTCTCGTCAGCATAGCCGCCATCGGGGACAAGGAGACGCCAGAGACGGGTGGGAAGCTTGAGGAGGCGAAGGAGAAGGAGAAGGAGGTCCACGACGTCGACGACCATGGCGACGTGCTTCTGCTCCTCCTCCTCCTCCGCGTTCGTGGCTGAACCCCCATGCAGGCGTGTACTGCATCGACATCAACTTTATCGAGGACTCCCCGAAGTATCTTGCCGGCGCGCCGTGGGTCCCCGCCCGCGTGCGCCCCTTCTCGGCCTTTGCCTCTCGAGCCGCCCCGCCGCGGTCGTGCGGGCTGTGGCACACCCTGCCACCGAAACGACCGTATCGTGTGATGTTAGTCTCGGGGACCTTCCTTGGGGCCCACCTGACCAGGGCTCATTTCGATTCCTCTGATTCGATTCGATGCGATTTCGATGGCTTCCGATTCCGACTCGATTCGGCTTCGGATTCCGATTCGGGCTCCTTCTCAATGGAGGCCTACTAGACTGCAGATTTCCGCCGATTCGACTTTCACCGACTCGGCTGCCGATTTCTTCCGATCCGATGTATTTCGATTGCCGATCCGACTTATTGATTCGATTCTGGGCTCTCCTGCCTGACGGATCGGTTCGACTCTAGTTCGAATCCAGGTCGACTCTGGTTCGACTTTGGCTCGGCTCCAGTTCGACTCAAGTTCGACTCCAGTCGGCAGGCGTTCGCCGCAGCATCGGCGCATGAGTGGAGCGACCGACTCCAGGAAGGTACCCAGAACGAGCATCTAAGCATTGGCTCCCGTATTCTTGCTTGAACAGGGGATCCCTGGAAGTCCCGACCTTTTCCGCAGATACCTCGTTTCGTCGTCAGTAGTTTCGTGACAGCCCCAGGGCCCGGCGATGGCCCCCAGAGGCTGCAATCGGCGGAAACCAGACGCGTATCGTTCTGTTCGATACGTTGAAGGTCTGGGTTCTCCTCCTCCCCCACCCTCCCATGTCTTGGCTCCCCAGGCCGCTGCCGACCATGGCGCGTGCCTCCGCAGCACACGATGACTAATGAGGAGGCGTGGGCTGGTGGCCGAGCCGCAATTCAGCCGTCATGGCTCCCTGGTGGTGGGAAGCACACGCGAGCTCCAACGCATGGAACGACAACATCGCGTTGGGGAACGAAAGCACACCTCCACCCCCACCTGTCTAGGCCTCCTAGACGGGATCGGAGTTGAAGGGGTCAGAGGATCGCGCCGCATCGCCGATGCATCTTTCTTTCACGTCGACGTCGCCGATGCATCGCCCACGTCGACGATGCATCGCCGGCGCATTGCCGATGCATCGCCGATGCATCGACGATGTATCGGCGATGCGGCGCGAGACCCCGACCCCATCTATTTCGACCCCATCTAGGAGGCCTCTAACCTGGCCCCCCTCCCTCCCTTCTGGGGCAGCCTTGCGTCCTTGCCCCTTCGACTTATACCTGGCCACTTTCGCTGGCCAGCCCGTTACGGCACCCTAGGAACATAGTTTCCCAAGGCCCCTGCATTCTTATCGCGAATCCTCACCATGTGGGCTGACTGTACCCCACGGTCGGCGTTGGTTCCCAAGTAGTTGCCCATGCAAAGACGGCCGCTGAACATGGTGAGGCTCGGGTGTCACGCATGTGTTGGGAGGGCGGGTGGGAGTGAGCTGGACGGCCTGCGATCTTGGAGGGTGTCTTGACCCCCCCCCTCTGGGGAGTGGGGTTGTGTGCAGGTGGGGTTGCCTTCTGCCCCCCGTCTGCGGAGGGTTTCCGCCGCTTGCGGCCTCCAGGCGCCATCGCTGGGCCTCCTCCTCCTCCTCCTCCTCCTCATCCTCCTCCTCCTCCTCTTCCTCCTTCTCCTCCTCCTCCTCCTCCTCCTCCTCCTCCTCCTCCTCCTCCTCCCCTCCTCCTCCTCCTCCTCCTCCTCCTCCTCCTCCTCCTCCTCCTCCTCCTCTTGGGGTCATCGGAAAACGCCTCGGTATGGACAGCCGGTCTCCGCGGGAAGGGTCGGGGCTCCGAGGGACCCCGTGCCTCTGAAAATCAAGGGGCCTTCAAGGGCTCCGGGGCTTCAAGGGTAAAACGACGCGAAGATCGGGACAAAATCGGATCGGGATAACTCGAAATCTCTGAGAATCGGCGGGTTTGGAGGATGTATTGGGCGCCGCGGCCGCTCCAGAGCGTTCCGGAACGCTCTGAGAGCGCTCCGGAACGCTCTGGAGCGATTTATCCCGATCTTGGCCCTGTTTGAAAAGGTCTTCTGGGCTTCAAAGGCTTCCAGGGACCCCGTGTTCCTGGTCTTCGGGGCTTCAAGGGTTGGGAAATCAATGCGTTGGATCTCGGGTCTTTTCCTCATCCCCACCCCTCGCCCCCCTTCTCCGCGTTGCAACCATCGTTCCGACTCTCCAGCTTCCAGCTCGCAGCCATGGAGGTCTTCGTGTGAGTCAGAGCTCCGCAGGGTTTGAAAGGCTGTGGTCTCGCGCGCTTCGCCCAAGCGGGCGCGGCACAGGCACACGGGCTTCGCCGCATGAGCCTGCACCACCGCCTCGCTCGCTCGCTCGCGCCACGCATTCCAGACAGGTCTCGCCGTGGACGCGCTTCCCTTTCGGTGGGAGTCTGGCGGCAGGAAAGCGGCGACGGCCTCGCGGGTGGAGAGTCGGCGGAGGCAGCTGCGAGCTGTCAGCATTTCGGATGTCGGGGTGCGTCTTCATTCAGGAGGGGAAAAAACACCCAGACACAATTAACTGTCGATTCCCCAGAAAATATAGGAAAATATGGGAAGTGGGGGGGAAGACAAAAACCCAGAAAGTATAGGAAAATATGGGGAATATGTTTATTCGTGTGTGTGTGTGTGTTTATTCGTGTGTCCTGGGGCCCCTTCATTCATGCCCGTCCTCGTCCTCGTCCTCGTGTGTCCTCCAGCCGGAGAGCGCTGCGAGGGGCCGGCACAGCCTGCTGCTCGCTGTGCATCGCACCCTCTCCCGCCAGGTGTGCAGGCGCGCTGCCTCTCCCCAAGCGAGGGGTCCAGACTCTGGCGAGGCCCTCGTGCACCACCGACAGGGGACGGGTCCCCGGGCGTGCGCAGTCAACCCGCACAGTATCGGGGGCGGAAAAGAGGGGGGTGATGACTAGAGGGGGTGGATATCATGGCGGGGGCCATGATATTTCCCCAGATTTCATGGCGCCTCTTCTTATTTCATTACGTCCCTGGCCCCCCCGCTGGGCCGCGCACATGCCGCCGGTCATGATTTGCACCCCCCCCTCTTGGACACCCCCCTCTTGGCCGCTCACGGCAGTAAGGATGGGCAATCTTCCCAAGGGTATCCCTTGCAACCTTGCCTCCTCGGTCCATGCTTCGCCACTGTCGCTGGCCGCGCCCCGCTCGCAAAGTGGCGGCACAGACTTCCGAGGCCCTTGCATCCTGATCGCGCATCCTTATGATACGGGTCGACTGTTCCCATCCCAACAAATTGATATGGCGGCTCGAGCCTGGATTCCCTGTCCAGGATGGGATCGCTGATCCCTGTTTTGCAGTGTGGGGCAAGCTTTGCAGGCAAAGTGTGCGTGTTGGCTCCTCCTTCTCCTCCTTCTCCTTTCATCCTTTCATCTGCCCGTCTCTTCCCCTCGTCTCTTAGTACCCTAATGTTTCTATCTGATGGGTTGTGTACAACAGTCTTCTGATAGGCGGGGGTGGTCTTGAAGGCCATCGCAGGACGTAGGGCCCCAAGGGCCCCAGCGAGGTCTGCCTCTTGGGCCCCTATTCGGCCTTTGGCTTCGGGTGTATTTCTGTCGAACATGCGGTCGGCAAATTGTTAGCTCGATGTACAGAAGTGCGAGGGGTTTGTCAACACGCGCCCGGTGCGGCGCCTTCCTCTCCTCCCCTCCTCCAACGCCCACTCGCACCGCGCCGTCCTCACGTCTGGAAACTTCCAGAGACCCGCCGAAGAGATACTCCGAAAGCACATGCTGGGGGCATCCGCGCGGAAGCCTGTTGCAGAGCGTTGCTCGCGACCACGTTTAGGACTTGTTGTATACCCTGCGTTTCCCATGAGCGTTGGGGACGAAGTGTCCACCGAAGGGGGCGAATTCTTGCCACGTCGGCGATGAGCGCTGGAAGGTGGGCCGCCTTCGGCGCGCAGTGGTTGTCCACGACAGGGGTCGGTTAGGGGTTGTCTCAGGAGGCGGCGCCCCCCGGGGCCTTTTTTTCAGAATCGGAGGTTGATGCAACCTCCACCTTGCCGAATCGATCAGCGAGTTGCCCTGCTTCGATTCTCGGGAGGGTGGCGAGGCCGCACTCTTGCGGCCGTGTACCCGCAGTAGTGACCCTTCGCTGGAGTTACCTCTGGTGTGGGCCCACTGGGCCCCCCCGATCGCCACGGGCGGTGCGATGGCAGCGGCCTGCGCGCGTGGGTTTGGTCTCCTCGCGGCCCCCGAAAGCAGGTTCCAAAGGTCACTCATACCCAGGGTCACTCTTGCGTGTAGCCGATGCGGGCCTGCGCCAGCCAGGTCTAGTCCCGGGTTATGTTCACTACAGGGTGTTTCGCTGAAGGGGTTTCTGTCCACCCCCGATGCAAGCGCTGAGGAACTTGGGTAATCTTCAGAATGCTACAATGGCGGCCCCGGGGCCGACAACACAGGGCTTAGAAGCCAGCCCCAGGGAAGGGTTCAAGAGGTCTGGGTGCCAGCGTCTCGACATAATCAGCCGACGGATGAGGAAGCGAAGGATAGCTCGAAATGAAGATTGGTTGAAGTTTTGGAGTGTGTGGGGGCTGGGCGGTACGATATAGTCCCAAGGCGATCCGGAAAACGTGACCCGGAACGAGCCATGTGGTTTTCTCTGCGGGCCTCCCTGGGCATTTCTGCCTGTTGCAAATTTACTGCAAGATAGGCTTCCGACTAGTGTCCTGGTTTGGCGGCAACGTCCGTGCCCAGTCAACGCGCGGCAACACTGCATGGAGCGTGGGTCGCCGAGTCTCGAGTGCATCCCACGCAGGTCTCTGCGGTGTTCTGCACTCAGGCCTGCCAGGCCTGGCCCGTGCCGTTTTGCAGCCTTCGCGTGGTGAAATCGAGAGCTCGTGTGCCCAGGCGCGCTGGCCGCGTTGACCGCCATGATCAACCTGGAGCTGCCTCACATCAATGTTCTGACCAAGTGCGACCTGTTACAGGACCGCGCCCCTCCCGCGGCCCTAACCCGCCTCCGTGGTGGAAGCAGTGGGGGAGGGGGACAGGCAACAGCATGGCCAGGAATATGAACAGGAGCGGGACGAAGAGGAGCAGGAGCGGGATGCTGATGGTCACAGTGGAAGGGAAGCCAGTCACGAACACCACGACCACGACGCCGACGACCACGACGATGACCACGACGACGACGACGACGTCGACGACGACGACAGCGACGACAACGACGACGACAGCGACGACCGTTACGACGACGACGACAGAGACGAGGCGCGCTCACAAGCCGATCACCGAGGCAGGGGCGGGACGAAGAGGATGGGAAGACGCCAGGCGCTCTCCGCGCGGCGTGCCCCGGTCGCCCCGGGCACACCATGTTCGCGCGTTGGCGTGGTGTGACCACCTTTGACAGAACTCGGAGGAGGAAAATGGACCCCTAATGCGGGATGACGATTAATAAAAAATGGGAAAGAACGATTAAAAAAATAGTCTTCTGCTATTTCTGCGCAATTTTCAGACTGGAGGAGAACGATTCAAACAAATAGGCTTCCAGCCCGCGGCCGGTTTTTTCTAATCGTCATCCCGGGCGCCGTCGCGTGAACACGACCCCCGGTCATTTATTGATCGCCATCCTCCATCACCCCTACCCTTTTCATCCTTCATCCTCCATCCATCGTCATTTATTACCGTCATCCTCCTCCATCGTCATCCTCCTCCATCGTCATTTATTAATCGTCACCCCTACCCTTCGCCCGTGTTCCCCGTTTTGGGCCTCCTGGGAGGCCCTCGCCGCCACCGCTGGATGTGCCTCGGAATTCTGGTCGGAGCGCGCCCCAGGAGAGGGAGTGCCGGTGTCAGTAGCTTTTGCAAGGGCTCCCCCGAGGGCGCGAAGTTATTCGCGCTTCGCGCTTCGCGGTCCTCGCTCCTTCTCCCCCTCCTCCTCGTCCTCCTATTCTCCCTTTGGGGGGGCGGCGCGAGAGCGCGAAGTTATTCGCGCTTCGCGCTTCGCGCAGCGCGAAGCGCGAAGTTGGGAGCCCTAGTTTTGGCTTCCCCGAAACCACGCTCGGCCACCGCGGTTGGCATGACCGCCGTGACCACGCGCTCGACCACCGCGGGCGCTCTCTTCGCGAAGGGAAACAAGTCAGGAGCGGCCAAACCGACCCTTAGCAAGCCCTCCCCTTCCGTGACGCCCCCAAGAAGTACGTATGTATGTGTGTAGCCGGAGGGGGCCCTGGAGCGCGAGGGAGACGTTATGGAAGGTGCTCGTCACGGCAGAGGTCGGTGAGGCCGCGCCCGAATAGAAGGCATGGACATATGTTCTCGGAGGTTTGCCCGGATTCCTTGGATCGGGCCCCCCTGGCGTCGACTGCGGCGCCGCCCGTGGCGCGTTCCGCGCGCCAGGGAGGGGGGCCCAACGCAAATCGAAGAAATCTGCGCGGACCTCCGAGAAATTTGGCTCACGCAGTTTTTCTGCTCCTCTGTCCTCGCAGCTCTGGCTTCCAGGGGCAATTCCTGAAGGCCCCAGGGCCATCGAGAAGCGGTCTGCGAGGCAACGCCGGTCCCAGAGATAGGGCCGTGAGGCCCAAGGTACAGTCGTCAGAATCAGCGACAGTAGAAAGGTGACACCGATGTTGGAAGTCTCGCTGGCCGCGGCGCCTGCACGTGGGTTTTTTTTTTGGGGGGGGGGGCAGGAGGAAAACAAGGAGAATGAGGAGGAGGAGGAGGAGGAGAATGAGGAGGAGGAGGAGGAGGAGGAGGAGGAGAGAGGAAAGGAGGAGGCAGAGGAGGAAGAAAAGGAGGAGAAGGAGGAGGAGGAACCAGAAGGAGGAGGATGAGGAGGAGGAGGAGGATGGAGGGGGGGTTGCCGTCCGTATGCGGTACTACTTCCAATCGACTTGGACTACTCCGCACCGAGTGGTGCCCGTTCCAACCGGCTCGCAAAGACAAATTGGTACTAATTCCAATCGGCCAAATCACGTCTTCGTATGGTTTGGAGTAAGAGATGATGTTACGATTTCTCACAACCAAATAGTCTGCTTATCAGAGCTTGCCTGTGTAGGGGTCCTAGCGGATTTATATGGTTAGGTTAGGGTTGCCGCCGATTTTCGCAGCACGCCCAGGTGCCCGGGGGTGCCCGGGTGCCCAGGCGTGCCCGAGGGTGCTTGGGTGCCCGGGGGTGACCTCTAGCTCTATAGCCCTATAGCTCTATAGCTCTACAGCTCTAGCTCAATAACCCTATACCCCTATAGTCCTATAGCTCTATAGCCCTATTCCCATATAGCCCTCTAGCCCGATAGCCCTGTAGCTCTATTACCCTATAGCCCAATAGCCCTATAGCCCATATAGCCCTATAGCCCTACAGCCCTAAAAAGATTATGATTGGAGTTTTCTCCAGTATCATGCTTGCATTTTATTCCAGCAGCTGAAATGAGTGCCCATATTGCAATGTACATCAGGTTTGCCGAGGATGCTACTAAAAAGGATTCAGGGATGAAAGTGTTAAGGGCTTCAGGGCTTACGGGTTTTGTTAGTGCTCACGGGCTGCACGTCTTCAGCGTTGAAGCGCCGAATGGTTTAGGGGATTAAGGGTTTCAGGTCTTGAGGGCTTAATGAAAATAGTGTAAGTGCTTAAGGTTTCCTGGAGTCAAGGTTCAAGGGCTCAACTGTTCGAAGGTTAAGGGTTTAGGTGTTAGAACGGGTGGCGGTGTGGCTGAGTTCAGAGTTTTATTCCTAAATTGATTGAGTAGTGAAGGCCTTGAAAGGGCAAGTGGGTTTAAGGGCAGCGGTTCCATCATCATCATCACCACTAGCATCACCACCACTACCTTCAGTATCATTATCATCGTTTGGCCAACGTCGTCATCCTCATTACCATCACCATCACCATTATCATCATCATCAGCATCATCCTCATCATCACCATCATCACCATCATCATCATCATCATCATCATCATCCCACTCACCCGTCGCAGGCATGCAAGCCTCTAAGACGCCTCTGCGACGCCTATGCGACGCCTAGGCGCCCGTGCGACGCCTCGAAGACGCCTCTGAGACGCCCGCGCGACGCTCTAAGCCGCCCGCATGCGACGCCTCTGGGGCGCCCGTGCGACGCCTCTCAGACGCTTCGAACACGCACGCATGACGCCTTTAAAAGACGCCCGTGAGAGGGCGCCAATACTAAGACGCCCGTGCGGCGTCCCTGGGACGCCCGCTCGACGCATCTAAGACGCCTGCACGGCGCTTCTACCACGCCCGTGCGACGCCCCCCAGGGAGCCCGCGCGTCGCCTTTAAGATGCCCGTTCGACGCCTCTCGGACGCCTGCGCGGCCCTTTTTTTTTTTGTTTGTTTTGAAATGCCCGTGCGACGCCTCCAGCGTGCCTCTAGGACGCCCGTGCGACGCTTCGAAGACGCCCGTGCGACGCGTCTGAGACGCCCGCGCGACGCCTCTGAAATGCCCATGCGGCGCCTCTAAGACGCCCGTGCGCTGGCTCTAAGACGCCCAGACGACGCCTCTAGCCCCTGGGACGCTGCCCGCGCGACGCTTCTCAAGACGCACGCGCGACGCCCCTGGGGCGCCCACGCGACTCCATTGGGACGCCTGTGCGACGCCGCAAAAACGCCAGTGGGGCTTCTCAAGAGGTTTGTTGGCATTTCTCCGCGGGTGGTTGGAATTCGCACCAACGGGGTCTGCACCTTGTTGTTTCGTCATGTTGCGCTGTTTTTGTTGACGGCCTTGGGGCCAGGAGAGAGGCCCCGGTCCAGCGGCCTCCAGGGATAGGCCTGGGATTCTTCAGAATCCAGAGGCCCGAAAGGACAGGCATGCACAACAGACAGCTCTGGAGGAGGAACATGACGAGCGGTAAGGGGAAGGGGGAGAGCGATGCGGGGGACTAGGAGGAGGTGCCAGGAGGTGGAGGACGAGGACCCGTGATATTTAGCTCCGTGTGTCAAGTCCAAACATTCACTTGCCTGTTCTGGTTCCTGCTCAGTTGCACGGTGTCCGTGGCATTCGGCTCAAATGGCACCCTCAGGTCGGAGGTCGGGGGGGCGAGCTCGCAGTCGAACGGAGAGCCCCAGTCGGTTTCGGTTTCGCGTTCGCATCCTTCGCGCGGGCAAAGCGAAGCTGCGTGCTCGCGCGGGAGGAATGGCGCCGTCGTCGCTAGGGGGATGCGGATGCAGTGGACGCCCCTCCGCCTACAGCGGGCGCGCCATGGCTCGGGGCGCCCCGCGGTGGTGTCCCGTGGTGTCCCGCGGGTGTCTTGCCCGTGTCTGGTCGGCGTGCCGTCGGCGGTGGGCGGCGGTGGCCGGGGGCGCCCCGCCCCGCCATCGACGGCGAAGCCGACCGCGAAAAGGACCATGGGATCGCTGGAGTGGGAAGGGGGGAGCCAGAACAACGCTGGGATCGGCAGCGAGGTTGACTGCGGCGTTGGTTGCGAGACCGAGATTGGGATCGATCGCGGGGTCGGTAGGGAAGTCGATCGCGCGATCCATCGTGAGATCGATTGTTGGATCGAACGCGTGATCTTCTGTGACGTCCGTCGTGGGATTCCTGTGGGGTCGATCGAACGTGGTCGATCTTGCGAGGTCGATGGTGATCCGCCGAGGGGGAGTGGCAGCGGGGGCGATAGCGACACCGCACTGCAGCGCAACATCGCCACAACGCGTCGTCGCTAAGTCGAGTCGCGTCACCAGCATCGCCCTTCTCGCACCCATCGCATTGCCCAGCATGGGGTTCCCCCCCACCCCAAAGCCTCCTTATCTCCCGAAGGTTGGTCGTCTAAGTATGTGTGCATGCATGGCGCTGTCCGCAGAAAGGCGCTGCCCCTCTCTGTTCGGAAATGCGTTCGTGATTTTTTGGTTCATCAGTTGGTAGCGGAGCCGTCGGTGCATCAGGCGGCCTTTCATTCCAAACATACCGACCTGGGACGAAGACTATCGACAGTCGACAGACATGATGGGAGACCTGCATGGACTACGCCGCAGGCGT